AAATTGATAGAAGAATTTCAAAGGCTAAAGTGTCATAGTGAAGTCAATTTTTTATTTTTTCATTATTACAAGAAAATTGAATTTGGTAAAGACTATACTATAATCTATTATTATTAAATAATAGAAGTACTAGAGTTATATATAATGGGACATAGCTAGTACGGGAGTATTATTTTTTGTTCCTTCTTTGAAGGAATGGGGTGGGATAGGAGGGGTGACCACCGACAAAGGACAAAAGAAAAAGAATATTAATTCACATTATTTTAACGACTTAAGTTATTTATCTTGATCATCTGTTTTTTTTTAAAAAAAAAACACTTTTGATATAATTTAATTTATAGGATAAATTAATTAGTTACTACTATTTTTGTTAAGTTTATAAATTATTATTTTATTATTTAATTTATCTGTAATTACTTTAAAATAATTTGATTATCTTAAAAAATTCACACTACCAATACAACAACAACAATAATTTATCCGGTGAGTGGAATCTAGCCCGATGTCGTAGGTTCAAATCCTACAGAGCGTGATTTTTTTCTTCTTAGATCGAATTAGAATGAAATAGATTCATTCAGTAACTTTCACAACAATCGGAATTTGACCTCCTGTGCCTGTGAATTAAAGAAAGGAGGAGAGTAGAGTGTACTCACATTTTACTGATAGTGCGATAATCGAAACATTATTTATAGCAAACGATGATGGATATAAAAAACAAACTATAATAATACTGACGGAGTCGTTTGGTAGAGTGTATTAGGAAATATAATGCATGCATTAAGTGTGTATTAATAGTACCTTGTTTGGTACACTTTTTCTTGCCATGTATAACTAATGCTTGCATTAGTTACACTCTATTGTGTATTAAGTTGTGTATTACTAATACCAAGTAATTTTAGGTATTAGTAGTACATAGCATTTAATACTTGCATTAGATTAAATAATTACAAAACTACCCTCAAAGTCTTTTTAAAATATTTCCTAACATTTTCTCTTCTTTTCATTTTCTTTCTTGTCATATGTTTTTTTTTTTTTTTTTCAATATCTTTTAATTTGTTGGTGTCTTGATAGACTTTATGGCCTCTTAAGTATCTTTGTTTTTTTTTAAAATATCTAATTTCAACATAATTTAATAAATTTTTTTACTGCTGTGGCGATAAATTTGATAAAAAAATTATTTGTCAACTTTTCACAAAAATATTTTGACTCAAATAGTACAACTATTTAATATTATTTTTGAAAAGAAGAAGAAGAGGAGTTAATGATGTTTTAGCAAAGAACTTTGTTGCAAGGAAGTGTAAAAATAAATAAAGTGTGAAGGATATTTTTGTAAACATATATTTTTAAATAGAAATTATGCAAGATTTATTATTTCTAATACATCAAACCAAACAGTGTATAAGAAATAATGCTTGCATAACTAATGCAAACACTATTAATGCAGACATTACTAATGCACCCTATTTTACATTATTCTTATACACTCTACCAAACGTTTCCTTAGAATAACAACAAACAAGCCAAAACCCTTGAATTAAAAGCAAAACAACCATTCACTACCCACTGACAAGGGGCGGCTCGATAGGATTATAAAGAAGTCAAGTCATGTCTCAGGCTTCCGGGAGTTTATTAATTATTATTTTTTAGCAATAACAGATTATAGTTTTACTAGTAAAACTATTCGCGCGAGAATTTAATATCACGAAATTTATAAAATTTTACTTAAAATTTATCAGTCATTAAAACTAAAACACTATATTATCTTACATATAAGATTATGTAATAACAAACATTAATAATGTAAAGGAAAATGAAAATTATTAGTACATCTTATTATTTATCCTTAATAACATAAGTATAAATTAATGACTGTAAAAATACATATTAGGATCTGTAACATAATCAATGGTGTCAGTGAGTCACTTAGCACAAGCAAAGTACACAAATATTTAATTGTGAAGAAGAAGAGGAGGTTCAGATTTTTGTTGTTTTAAAATAAGAGGAAATCCCTCTATTTATAGACAAAAAAAAGGTAGTATGAACAAATGTTTATTGTGCCTTATTGGAAAGGTTACAACTATTTGGAAAAGTTGCAACCCTTCGGAAAAGTCACAACCTTTCATAAAAGTCACAACTCTTCAAAAAGTCGCAACTCTTCATTAAAGTCGCAACTTTTCATAAAAGTCACAACTTTTCATAAAAGTCGCAACTCTTCATAAAAGCCGCAACTCTTCATTAAAGTCACAACATTTCATAAAAGTCGCAACTTTTCATAAATGTCGCAACTTTTCATATAAGGGGAAGACTAGTTTTGAAAATAAATAAATTAAAAGGGAATTCTGATTTGTGGTGGTGCCACGTAGGCGGGCCTAAGATTCTCTTTTATATATGATATATGATATGATTTTTTTAGTAAAAAAAAGATTATAGGTTTATTTTTTTGAATAATTACTATTTATAGTTAAAATTATTTTTTTCTATAAAATGAAAGAATTATTATAGAAGTTTGGCATATTTGGAGAAAAGATTAAATTGATTTATTATATTATTAATTGAAAAAAATATATTAAAGGAATAAATTATAATTTACTTTTTTAACAATTATGCATCATAAGATTCGTAAGAAAATATATTAATTTATTTTTTAAAGCTTCCATTTGATTTTTGTGTTTGGTCACTAATGCTTGAGCCGCCCTTGTGGGCCTTGCCACTAACCTTCTACTCTAGTAGGCGATCTCCATATCTTTCTAGGTCATGTCCTCAATAAGCTGTCTTTAATCAACTCTCCTCAATACTTCTTCGAGCTATCTCTGCATCTCTTCACCCAACTATATTCATTCTCTCGCACCTTCTTACTAGATCATCCGCATATCTCATCACCAATAATAAGATATATAAATATCAAACTCACACAGATAAAAACAGTTCTAGTCAATATAGTATGGTTTCCGCATGTGACTGATTAAATGATCACATGATACAGGAGGCAAAGGAGAGTGCTCACTCTGCCATTAATGTTAGTTGTTACTCTTTCATTATTTTTTGTATTGTTAGATCTTGATTTCTTTAACTAGTAGAATTAAGAAATTGGAGTGATACTATACTATTCTTATTAATATATTGAAATCATATTCATTACATTCCAAAAAAAAATTCACATCAAGAAATGGGGAATCTTGATATTGTAATTGGGACCACTCATGTGTTACGTATCCCTTGCCGATATATATTGCAATATTAAAACTTTATGCATTGGTAATAGGACCTTAATCCATACTTAAAAAAAAAAAAGAGTCCATACTGATTATGGAAGAAGTAAATAAATTGAACATTGACCTAAAATCATTAATCAAAAGATAGGTTATAGACAAAGGCATAGCCAGAATTAAGAATTTAGAGGTTCTAAATTAAAAGAAATCGTGGTTCAGATTAAAGAGGGTTCGAAGCCACAACTCTAACGTTTCATAGCCACTCCTTTACCATTGTACCGGATTCACAAGTTATATATATATATTTATTTTTTAGTAAAAATACAGGTATACGAAAAACCTACTAGGTTCGTCCGAACCCACGAATTCGCACCTAACTCCGTCTCTGATTATAGATAGTCCATTAATAACATATAGTCAAATGAATATGATTTATTAAATGCTTTTAAAGGTAAAATACGTTAGAGTGATAGTTTTATGATTTTTTTTTTTACATCATATCAAATATGAAGAAGTGAAAAAAATAAAAAGGTTAAAGAAATTTATGGAGTTTGGAAGTGAAAGGGAACATGTTAGTACTCTGAAAAATTGCAGTGGTCACACCATCTTCCCGGTCCAATCGCACATGACTTCAATAATGCACTAATATAATAGTTATAGTAAGTAATACGCTGAATCTGTTCTGCCAAGTGCCACCATTTGTCTATACCCTTCACATTGCATAATCTTTAATTTCTTCATGTAGGTATTCTCATAACCAAAATTATTTTATTGCAATTTCCAAACTTAGGTAATTATTGCATTATCCTACTAACTTCAGTTGTTTATAAATCCCCGCCTAACGCAATTAATCGGAAGACACTTTAATTTTATTTTGTAGCACAAAAATCACTCAATTAATGATAATCATTTGAGAAAGTCATTCAAATTTATTTTATAATAAATTAAAAAAATCACTCGACTGTCATCATTTTTCTTTTAAAATCACTCAACGATTGTCATTTCACCTATAACATGTAGATTCCCCCACCCTCCTCTTGTCTTCCTTTACAAAGGGTGTGCATCGGTCGGTTCGATTCAGTTTTATGTATTATCAATTCGGTTCGGTTTATTGGTTTTCGGTTTTTAAATACGCTAAATCAATAACAAACCAATAAAATATTCTTTATCGATTTTTGATTTATCAGTTTTTGGTCATTAACTGTTCGGTTTTCAGTTTACCCAATAAAAAAATCCTCATAAAATAAATATATGATTGTCTCACTTCTCTAACAATTTGGCATGAGACAAGCAAATCAACTGTAAATGCCTTGATATAGTGAAACAAGAAATATAATGAGAAATTGCATCAATAAGAGTAGATGTAATATGAAGACTACAATTACATGTTACAACAAAAACATAATATGGAAAATTCTGATGTGAAAGTAGAAGTATTGTAACGTGTGAAGTGTAAAAACCATAGTGTAAAGTACTGATATAGTGTCTAGTTATGTTAAATTATTATAATATATACAGTAATATTTATGAAGGGTATAGTAATAAATTACTATCGTCAATATTTTTTTCGATTCGATTTTCGCACTGTAGTACCTTCACTTGCAATTATTTAAGTGCACACTGACTACCAAGTGCTATATCAATCCCTCACTCATCAGCCCCTTACTTCACTCATATACTCTTTCTCTAGTGGGAGGAATAATTCTCAGCTCAAATTTATCTCTCCATAGTCCATATCAAAGCTTTAAACCAGCATTTTGCTGTGTCTAACTTTAGCATTAATCGGAGAACATGGATGTCTACGGACGGTTAACGCCAGAAGTGTTTCGGATTGATGATCTTCTTGATTTCTCAAACGAAGAGATCTTTTCCTCTTCTAAAACCGCCATCGACTTTGATCTCAATCACCATTACCAACCACCTCCTACCGATAATATTGCTGCCGCCGGTTGTTACAACGATGCTCTTCCCAATTCCGTTGACTTCACCGATAAACTCTGTGTTCCGGTAAGTATATATATACACATGAGTAACATCTTCGATATCGGGTTAAGCTATATCACATGAATTAAACACAGGAAGTAAATTAAGTTTTATGAGATATGGTGGGACAGTCAAAAATATTTTCTGATAAATAATTAAACACTTGTTAAAGATTCAATTCGAATGCTATTTTAGTAAAAGTTTGGAGTATTGAGGACCGATAGTAATGTTTAGTGTTAGTTAAAGTAAATTAATATATATAATTGAGATAATTATATTGCATAGAACACTTCTATTCTAAAAGTGAAGATGTTATTTTCCTACTTTGGTGAAAGTGTTTTGTAATGGTGTAAACTAATTAGGAAAAAGTGAAACCTTTTATTTAGATTTCAAATTAAACACATTACTAGTATATAGTAGCTTAAAAATATATTTCACACTACAATTTAATATGTTACTGCACAGTTTTTCTATCCAAATTTATATAATGTAGTTTGATTTGACATGATTTTCTTTTAAAAAAAATACTTTTAATACTCATGATCTAAAATAAGTCATAACTGTTTGTATGACTATAAATTATTTGATTAAAATTAAAACAAATATTTTAAAACTAAATTATATTACATCGAAATGTGTTTTTTTTTAATTGACTAAAAAAAATGAAACATATAAATTGGAAAAAAGAAGTACTTGAATTATCCTATCATATTGTTTTGCTACATAATATTTTAGGTGAACTTAACCTATTGATGTTAGAAAGAACTTATTCATTTAATAATAGTATAATTTATTTATTCTTGTTCTTGTTATTTGTGAAGAGTGATGATGTAGCAGAGTTGGAGTGGCTATCGAACTTCGTGGAAGATTCATCCAATAATTTCCCTTCAAACTCCTTAACACAAACCATGTACCACCTCAATAATACCAATAATATTACTACAATATTGCACAGCAAATCAAGAAGCAAACGTTCACGTAATTCAAACACTAGCTGGACTACTTCCTCACTCCAACAACACAAATCCACAAACCAAAAAAACTACAATCAAGACGAAAATTCAGGTATTTATAACAGAGACAAATTTTCATCAATAACTTCAAATATTACACCGAGAAAATGCACCCATTGTGCATCAGAGAAAACACCACAGTGGCGAACTGGACCATTAGGCCCCAAAACACTGTGTAATGCTTGTGGTGTAAGGTACAAATCGGGCCGGTTGGTACCTGAATATCGTCCCGCGGCAAGCCCGACGTTTGTGTTGACGCAACATTCGAATTCTCACCGGAAAGTAATGGAACTCCGGCGACAGAAAGAGGTTATTGATCATCAACAGCAGCAGCACGGAATGTATGGACATCACTATCCGGTCTGCTGATGTCATCTGTATGCCACGTATTACAAGCTAACGTGGATGCCTTATTATTCTAAAGAGACTTTTATCTCTTTTCAGTATTTTCTTTTGTTGCCTATTTAAAGGTATTTGAGATAGTCACTTTCACGATTGTTCTTTTTTAAAAAAGATTTAGTGTTCCATGTCTTATGTATTAAGAGGTCGTTTGGTAGAGTGTATAAGAATAATGTTAAATATAATGTATTAGTAATGCTTTCATTAGCAATGCATGTATTAGTTATGTTTGCATTAATTATACATAGATTATTTTAATGCATTGTTTGGTTTGATGCATTAAAAATAGTATGTATTGCATTAAAAAATTATTTACAAAGATACCCTTCACTTTTATGGTGGAAAAGATGCAAAAAAGGTTTTGAGGGGCAATTGAGTCTTTCTTTTATCATGTTAATGGATGCATTAAAATCATTGCATTGCTAAAACTTAGAAATCCATGGTATTAGCATGCACACCTTATTACACAATAAAGTGTATAACTAATGCAATGCAAACATTAGTTATACATAGGTTGAAAAAGAGTACCAAACAAGATATTAGTAATACACAATGCTAATACATATATTATTTTTCCTAATACACTCTACCAAACAACCCCTAAAACTTATAGTTAATGCAGTGATGGCATAATAATATTTATGGAATATTCAAATTTTATTGTAAAATCAACCCAAAAAGTTAGTATATATATATATATATATAAAGATCAAAAGATGAAAGTAGGAATAATAAAACAATAAAGAGCGACAAGAGATGGAAGTGTAGGAATTTCTTTTTTTTTCTTTCAACTATTTCCGAAGTTTGAAAGTGTATATAATATGAGTTCTTAATACATCTATTTGTAGGGTTCATAAAGGCATACAAATGGTGACGAAATATCTAAAAAAGAAAAGGGACTTACATATGGTGTTGATTGACCTTGAAAAGGTCTACGACAATGTTTCAATGGAAGTCTTCTAGAGATGTCCGCAAGATGCTAGAAGTGTACCGATGAGTTTTATTAAATAAGTCGACAAAGGACATGTATGATGGAACCAAAATTAGAGTTAGGATAATGGGAGGAGACTCGAAAGACTTTACGATTGATATGACGTTGCACTACATATTAACTCTTAGATCGTTTCTATCTATCTAGGTGATGGATGAATCAACACGGTATATTCAAGATGAGGTGCATCAACGTATGTTATTTGAAGATGACATAATACTTATTGATGAGACATGCATGACAGTTAATGCTAGGTTGAAGGTGTGGATACAAACTCTAGAGTCTAAAGGGTTCAGTGATGTAAATCATGAGGCATGCGATGAAGTGAGGTTTGACACACAAGTTATCTCAAAGAAAGATAGCTTCAAGTATACTGATTCTATAATCCAGAAAAGCGGGGACATCAAATGGTGATATCACACATCATATTGGTATGATATAGATGAAGTGGAAGCTTACCTCTATAGTCTTGTGTGATAAAAAAAATACCATCAAAATTTAAAGGTCAGTTCTGTAGAGTGGTTGTCACGATCCAGGGGTACACCCTAGATGTAACATGGAGTACTTAACCCCGAGGGGGTCTCATACAAGCCACTTAGCATATCATAACATAAGATACTAGAAAAGTCCAGAAATTTTTAAAACATTATCCATACAATCAAAATCTTTATAAAAGCAAGCGAAAGTCTTACTATACTTTGTATCAAACCATCTATAACCATTTGAATAAAACTTTGGGACGCAACCCATACAAAAGTCTAAATCATAAAAGAAAGACATAAAAGGAAATGGTGGCTTCATCCTTGATGCTATGAGGACTCACCAAGTCTTCAACACCTTGCATTTCTAGAAACATATCTTCAAGAATGGAACTCAAATTGCCAGACCCTACATTTGATGAGAATGTAGGCAAGGGTATGTGTTAGTACAAAAGTACTAAATATGATAGCTAACATAACATCATAAGAGCATAACATAAGGGTTAGTCAACATAAGCCATATGCCATAATCACAAGATACTTCATGAAGCATAAACTTTAAGCATACGAGACAATATCATAATCATAAGCAAAGTCTCCAACATAGGCATCCTATAAGCATTATTCAACCCTTAGTCCTTCATATCATAATAGAACTACTTCTCAAGTAACCTCAAAGCATACTTGTGCAATGCATGGATGAGACCCCAAAATCTCACCCACACTAAGTACAACTTTTAAGTCATCATAATCATACTTACCATCTTATTGTCTCATCCTTAGCTTACTTCTCATAGACAAGAGAGTCTTTCACCTTTAGTCAAACATAACATGAAAGGCAACTAAAACAACAATCCATCAAAACATACATCATATAAGAGAAACACTTTTTAGGTAACCTTAAGTCATACTTGTGCAATGCATGAATAAGCCCCCATAATCCTATCCATACTAAGTATCACTTTAGGTCCTCATACTTATACGTCTAAGTTAGGGACTAGTCCCTCTTTTAAGAATTGGAACACTAGGAGGTACTTCTTTAAGTCCATCTTAGTTCCTCTTCTTTATTATCTTGAACACTATGTGATACCTTTGCAAGTATGTCTAAGTTCATTATTAACTTGAACACTATGAGATACTTCATTAAGCATGTCTTAGTTCATTAATGCTTTTGAACACTTGGAGATAACTTTTAAAGTATGTCTTAGTTCATTGGATAAGGAGATTGTAACTAGAAACCCTGACTTTTCTATGTGAAGGCTTCCATCTCATGAGACCTATTTTTTGGGAAAACTCGGACTCTACTATGTGAGAGTTCACTCTTTACTTTGGAAGCCGAGACTCAACTAGGTGTGAGCATCCTCTCTTCGTGGAGACCCAGACTCGACTATATGTGAACTTCCTTCTCATTGTCAATATCCATTAGGGCCAAGCATACACCCTCTTAAACTAATTATTAAGCCTTGCTTAACTCATGACTCATGGAGGGATGTCCTTGACAACCAATCCATGTTTCAAGTGATTCTATCACTTTATGCATTCAATCATTCATAAGGTAGATTAAGTGGCTAAAGTCTTTCCACAACAATGCTAGCGACTAGTCTACAATTCTCATATAGGCTTCACTCTCAAAGCCACTACAACCATAATTCAACATATTAGATTTACTCTCAAAGCCCTAGAATTCTACCTTCATGACTACAAGCCTTACTCTCAAAGCTTTACTTCTTACAATCATCATTCATACCTAGATTTCAAGGCATTCTAATCACATACTTCATTATTAAGCAATTCTAGTCATAAATCATCATAAAGGTTTAACTTCAAGCTTTACTCGTCATGATCCATCACATATACTATAATCTAGTTCAATTCATGTCTACTTGGTTTTTTTATTCATGAACAATTACTATACATGTCATTAATTCTAGAAGATCATCTCTAAATCCTCAATCCCCCTTCACAAGGCATAAACCCACATTACTACAATTTCATCAATTAAAGTAGGGTTAGCCATGGAAAACATGTAATATCATCATAATAACATGATTCACTACTAAATCAATCATAAACAAGTACTATCCACTCAATTGGAATCATACTCAACTTAACCCACAATATTGGAAGGAACCTAGCTAGAATTGGGGATTTCATCTTCAGAATTGGGGGAAATCTAGGAGGTTCCATGGATGGAAGAATCCATGGATGAATAAGATATCATACCTTGATTATGAAGCCCTACAAAGCTTTTAACAATGAAGTCTTGACCTAGCTTGAACCCTCATCCTTCTTCTTCTTCTTCTTTACTTTCGAGAGAGAGAATTTGTTGGAGGGAATTGGGTTCTTTTAGGGGAATTGAAATAATGACTAGGATCAATGTATTTAGGGGTCTAATAGCTTTATATAGGTGGTCTAATTACTAATAAAACACCCCACTTAATATCTACTTAATTCTAGAAAGTTCCCTAACCCCCAACTTAAACCGCCTAAGGACCACACTGTCTCAACCCACGAGATCATGCTGACGGGCAGTGGGTCCACCCACGGTCCATGCTGGTCAATCGTAGGTGAGTTACTGTGGCTTGTTTTGGGGCCTTGACCCATGACCCTCACCCATGGGACGTGGGTCCTTCTACGGGGCGTAGGTCCCCCACTTGTGGGTGCACTAATTTTTTGGCAGATTTTGGGTAGTTTCTAGGGTCCTCTTCAAGGAACTTTGGTTGGTCTTTGGGGAGTCGTACCTTGATGTTTAACCCCTAAACCCTTCATTTTAAGTACAAGAGGTTATATCTACGACTCTAACCCCCTATGTCAAACTATAGAACCCTCACATAAGTCTCTAGTTTAGCCTACTAGTTCCTGAGTGTTACAATATCTCCCCCTTAGGAATATTCGTCCTCGAATGACGCTTTAGGCACTCCTTAGGGTCACAATTGTAGACTAGCAACCCATCATGCATGCAACTCATCTAAATGTACACAACAAATGAGGAAACCTTCAACTCCAAGCTAAACATACTCAATGCAACGCAAGGGAGTAAGAACTATATCTAACAACCCAAAATGCATGAAATTCTATATCTACTCCTATTCAAGGAGGAACTACCATATCCTAGCTAAAACATGCTCAACATACACTCATGGAGCCTATATGCACTTTATTCTCAAAATCATTTATTCAAGGAGAAATCTTTCAACTCTAAACTAAGGCATGCTCATTAGTTCATTTGATGAAGTCTATAGGCAACTCTACTCAATGCACTACAACATGAGGAAAAACAATGCACATAAGCCTTTTTATCAAGACCTAAGCTTTTTCATGAACATGCATATAAGGAAATCATGGCCACACATAAACACACAATAACTTGATATCTAGGCACACCATCTCCCCCTTGGGAGTAAGCCTATAAAAACTCTTCTAACATCATTCATACTAAAGACAACTTCAAAGTCTAACATATCAAGTTACAAAAGGCCAAACAATACCAAAATATAATA